TTGGCCGGAATTAGCCGAGTAAGGCCATATGCGGCCAACCTGGCCATCTTGACTAAAATATAATCCGGGCCAAGTTTGTATGCATCTTATACATGTATAAAAGGATATGCATCAGGCCATATGAGTGAGCATAGATATTCCCATCTCAGGTTGATAAGGGTCATGGACCAGACATATACAATCTTAAGAGATTTATAATTAACCACCACAAGAAAAATGTGCCATATAAATGGAACCTCAAACAAGGATTGAGAGTTGGGAATATATGTTGGATATTTATAAAGTCTTTCTCTTATAATAAACCTTGAGCCAAATATGGGTGATTAGAATGTGGCCAAGTACATGGATTACATAAGGAAGTAAATCCAACTATCCAACATGGAAATGAGAAAGATATAAGCTGGATAAAACAATGGTATTAACCATCAGTGTCTTGGCAAGATCCTCGGACTAGAACATAAGATTCTGGACGTCCACAAGTTATCAAGGAATGATACATTGCTAGCAAAACTAAATGGAAGACACAAAGACCCAGAAATGAATGACTATGTCATACCAGCTTATGCACCACGAGTTTAATGTCCTAGTAGAGACATAATCAAGTTGCTATAAAGTCTATAAAGGTAGACAAATAAGTTCCAAAAGAAAGAAACCTCGGAAAGGAAATGAAAGGTGCATTTTATTATGGAATCCGAGTTCAAAGGAAACTAACCAGACATAGAGGGAAAACCTGGCCAGGTAAACATCTAAGGTACCAGACCATGTAAGCTTGGGACGCCAAGATTACAAGGCAGGAAAGGTCCTGGATAAATAAGATCTAAAATGGATTAGATCATGTCTGAGTAAAATGGAACCATATATATAAGAGTGTTAACACCAATGGTATAAGAAGACTTATATAAGCAAATAGCACTTGAGATTTATGGAAATGGAAAATGAGGATCATGAACCCATGAAAGAGTACTCATAGATCATAGAATCATGGGGTTCAGAGTATATATAAAAGTATGATGTGTGTATTGGCCATATTGGAACACCATCAACCAGTGATATGTAGGTCTTGTGAGTGATATGAATCCGTGAGGAAAAGGTTAAAATGAACTCAGGGTATTCATGTTCTTACAAGAGACATAGGAACATACTATTAGGAGATAAACTCCTAAGTGGTGGATGCTACTAGTCAAATTCGNAGAGTATATATAAAAGTATGATGTGTGTATTGGCCATATTGGAACACCATCAACCAGTGATATGTAGGTCTTGTGAGTGATATGAATCCGTGAGGAAAAGGTTAAAATGAACTCAGGGTATTCATGTTCTTACAAGAGACATAGGAACATACTATTAGGAGATAAACTCCTAAGTGGTGGATGCTACTAGTCAAATTCGAAATTGACAAATGTCTGGTCATAAGTTGACATGTAATGAGGTAGTAAGTAGCATATGGTTCACTGGATTAATGGTTAAAGGAAAACCATGAAAATGAGAAAGGAAATTCTCAAGAACAGCATTGTTCCTAGGCTGTTCATGGACTGATATTATGCAGCTGCAAGTAAATATGGAATACTAAGAAAATGCTTAGTACAATCAGTCCATATGTATTATACAAAAGGTGTATAGTAAACTAATCCATAGAAAGGATGGATGGTTCAATGACTATGTCATTGGCATATGTGTTGAGATCAGCACTACCACACTTCATAAGAAGTGGACGTATGGAAAGGCTAAGGAAGCCGTATGGTCCATACCAAAGTTCATACCGACCAAGGCTAAGGTCCGGTTACATTCTAAGTCCAAATCATCCATGGTGTGATGACTAATATGTTAGTTCAAAACGTGGTTATGACCTAGAGGTACTAGACTATCAAGGTGCATAGTTTAAAGGTCATAAGGAACCAATGTAGTATAAATTGTACCTATACATCACCACACATAAGCCATGTTGCTATGGCAACATTAGGCACTCATTGGCGAGTTGTTGACATGTGTGGGTAAGGTCCATGACCATAATGTACTTCAGTACGTGGCTTAATATAAGAAGGTCATGGGACACCATCAAAGGAAGTATGGTATGTGATGTTTAAGTACAAAGGTTGTAGTGTGGGACTTGAATGTAAGCACGACCATTAAGCTTTGTATTAATGGATAAAGAAAACTATAAGAGTCCAAAAGAGTGACCAAAATAGGCTTGGTCAAGTCCTAATAGATATGGTATTGCTAAAGGCAAGAAAGGTCGATAAGTCATGTTTAAAGGTCCATGAGCATTTGCTGCAGATCCATGGTTGGATGTGATCGTAATATTCATTGCAGCAACTGGTGAGGTAACTCATAAGGTTATGGACGTGATAGTTAAGGACTATTACTTAACATGAACTTACCCAAAGGATGGGAAAGGATATCGACCATAATGGACAAGACCAAATGGACTAGGAATGTCCATGAGAACCTAAGGTTGGTCCATATATGTTTTGGTCTATGACTCTATATAGGATGTCCACGAAATGGCTATGCCATATGATCAGTGGATCCGTGGGACATAAGAGGATATGAGATGGGCCTGCAAACAATGGTTGTATGCAGATCATAAGCCCATCCAAGTACTGGTCAAGTACCATCCGACCAGAACACCAGTCCGACAAGGAGATCAGTCCAACCAGGACATAGAATGGTCAGTTGCATCAGGTGCACGACATGACCATGTCTTAATGGAGTTCCAGAAGGCATTAAGAGACACTAGAAGTTCCAAGATGATCACACGTCAGTGGTGTATTCATCAGGGGGAGTTTCATGTGTTGTACTCTTTTGTCCTGTCCTTGGTTTTCCCTTTTTACCACATTGGGTTTTGGGTTTTACCAGGAGAGGTTTTAATGAGGCAACATCCAAAGCATGAAATGAACTTTGAACGGATATGTCAACCAAGGGGGAGTGTTAAGAAATGGAGGAAATGGTGGTTAGCCATATCCGAGAAATGGACCAGACCACATCAGTCTACTTCAGTCACTAAACCAGGCGGCCAAGACCTTATCCTTATCCACACTCAAGCTCCTTGTATTTATCCATATGTTGTAGTTATCCTAATCATTATAGGATTAGGATAATCATCCCCTTTATTTGTAGCAATCCTTATCTCCTAAGGAATATGCTTTATTCTCTTGTATGTATATATATATGTGTAACCACGTGATTAATAATACAATGAGAGTTACAACCTTCTTTATTCTTTAACAGGACATGTTTTGTTTCTTTATTCAATGACCATACTACACAACATTTTTGTAATTCTGTCAGTTTATATACACATATATCATGTAGGGTTACTTTCTCTTGAACTTTAATAGATGGTACATTCTTTACTGTGAATATGATATATCATGTTATCTATTATGTTTTACTATAATAGTTACATCAGTCTAATAATAATTGCCGAATGCCTATAACATTATCTCATAATCCAATTTAATACAAGTTTTCAGTATTGTACAGCATAGGCTTAAAACAGACCTCAAATATTGAAGTACACAACAATATATCAAGGAAAAAATTAAAGTAGGGCTTAATTGATGAAAGTAACAGATCTTGCAGTCAATCATTATAGCAAACAAAGGTAATTAATAATCAAAAGATAGCAAAAACGAAAAAGTTAATACAATAAAGACTAAAAAGAAGATGACAATTAAGAGATCATAACTTCAGAGTCAAGTCAATCTTCTTAAACTGATTATGATCTTCTTGCTTGCTCTTGAAATATCCAATGTTACTGCTGGGCGGTTTCTGGTGAATGCTCTGTTTGAAAACATGGCTTAAAGTCGCTGCTTGTCTTATTTGAAAGGGATTATGGATCGTTGAATGAGCTTGAATCCCTAGCGTTGATCTGTTACTCGCCGAGCCATGTAACGGTAATGATGCCATGCTCGCGAATCTGCTGACTGAACCGTGGCCAAACGCAAACGCTGAAGAAGGAGAGGAGGAGAGACTCATCTTGTAGTAGTGTCCGCGTTTGGCTAAGGTACGTTCGCGTTTATGAGCGTTTTGGTGGCCGCCTAGGGCTTGTGAGCTATAGAACTTTCTTTGACAGTAGTTGCAGGAAAACACTCTCGGATCATCCAAATGTTCTTGATGATGAGAAGTCGATGATGAGCTCGTTTTGAAAGAATCGAGGAGATTGAGCTCTGCTGAAGTCTTACCATGTGGCAAAAGTGTCAAACCTAACTCAAGATCTTGGTGACCTCGTTTCTTGATTTTTAATATTTCTTGGTCTTTCATGGAAGAATCCATGTATACGTTGGATATAGCTTGTAGAGGATATATAAAGAGAAGGAGAATAAAACTTTGATATAGATAATATGTTGAGTGATGTGGTCGTGGGAAGTGCAGAGTGAGTTCTATTTATGGAATTGGAGGGACATGTGACCTTTTTAAAAAAGTGAATGATGTTTAAAGAAAAAAAGGACACTTTTGATGTGTGTAATCTGACCTAGAGCTGCAGAGCCCACACATGTAACCGTATAGTAGTAGACACTATAGAGAGAGAGAAAAAAGAGAGAAAAAAATTAAGGTTGTAATGATTTTGAATTATTGATATATTTGGGAACATGAAGAATGAGTGTTCATGATTTCATGTTATACCTATTGTAATAAATGCTATAAGTAGCTCTATCTTTATCAAATGAGTTTGTCTTTGTTGCCACCTTGTAAATTTCTTATCTTGTTTTCGTATAAAACGTTTAATATTTTAGAATCATAAACATATATATACGCGGTATGTACGTAGGTAGTTCCATTCATGTAGGGTTTAGGTGAGACGTTTGATTCAAAAACCCAAATGAAGAAGCTATCTTTATTTGTTTAAGTGTTAGGTAAGTTAGCACTGTGGACAGGGATTATGAAACCAATCAAATCTCCCCGACAATCACTTTCGTTTCAAATTTTTAACCCATTCTCCCGTTTTCGGTTGAATGTCCAAAACTGAAAATCCATACACATCATCTCACATAAAAAAAAAACATATCACTAATCATTAACTTACAAGAGCATACACCATGGTTATAAGTCAACTAAACTGGTAAATCAGTTTTTTTTTTTCTGTTTAAGTTGTATATGTGGTTAATCAAACAAAAACCTATGTATCTGGATCTATATATTAGATAAAAGTTGATTCATAAATGTTGAAGATTGTCTTCAAGCGAATTATTCCTCAGCTCTCCAATGTAAATATCATTTGTTCTAGCTAGCGGTTGCAACATCTTTGTTGTGGGCGTTTGCCTAGTCTTTCTTTCCTACCAAATCTTTCAAGACTTTTTTTTTTTATCTCTCGAGAATTTTTTATCACTGTTACTGCTTCACATCATATGTTATTGAAAACAGTATATAGTTGCGATCTTAAGATATAGTGAGGCAATAAGTTACGAACTGGATATACCAATTCAATTTATAGTACATCCAGATGTGAACTTATCACCAACATATGATTCCCCAACATCTATTAAAAATAAAAACATCCAGCTGCTGGAAAATAGAAGCCATCCAGCTTTAGTTACAAAAGTACACATCTTTTGTTTCATCATAGTGACTTGTGGAGGTGATGTATTTTGTTTTTATGTTTGCTTTGTCTAATCAATTTAGACAGTATATCTCCTCCTAGATTACCTTGTCGGTCCAACCTCCACACCCAAAGATATATGGACCACCATCTCGTTCTTTATTAGCCTCAAGAAAAAGCAAACAGGAATAAAGAAAAAAGAACATCCATGAATCATAGAAGTCTAGTTTGTCTAAAACTGCATACTTAGTAATCAAAGTTGCTCTCTAATTGATTTGATTAATCAATCATAAACGAACTTGGCTGTAAAGACTGTATTTCTTTTTCATATGATTGATTGACCTTTTAAACATTTATAGGCCCATCACCCCTTCTTGCTCCTATATCACAGAACAATAGGCTACTCTCATTCCAAAGGCAAATGAGACCCATAAGTCCATATATGATTTTGCATGGACCGAAATTAGCCCCATGAGTCCATATAAATGAGTCCAAAGGCAGATCTATATCTATATGCAAGGACCATAAGCTATACACCTCTAGGTTGGTTTCAACTTGCTTTTGCAATTAACTAATACTTGCAATATTATAAGACTAGTCATTGCTTGTATGTGGTGGAGTTGGAATTTTTGAACGAATAATTTATTTTAACTTCATATAACCACTTAATCAATAGACTAATCCCAATAAAAAATTTATATTTTGGAAAAACAGAAACACCTAAGGACTCAAACCTCTTTAAATTTCATAATATGTCAGTGCATGATGTTTCTATGCAATAAAACAAAAATATCATATTTTATAATCTATCTTGAAATATGTGGGTTAACCCCTATGAAAAGATCGAGTTTTCTGATAAAGACTATAAACAGAAGTTTATGCTCTTTACTGTTGATTCAAAAATACCAAATCAGACTATAAATTTAATTTAATGTATTTTAAATTTTTTTCATGGTACAAGAGCATCGTTTTGAAATTTTTAACGACTAATTTATTTTAATTTCATATACCATTTAATCAGTAGACTAACCCTTATAAAAAAATATTTTTAGGAAAAACAAGAACATTTAAGATCTCAAACCTCTTTAATCTTCATACTATGTCAGTGCATGATCCTTCTATGCATTAAAACAAAAATATCATATTTTCTAATTTATCTTGAAATATGTGAGCTAACCCATACGAAAAGATCGAATTTTTCAAAAATTTTAGAACTTGAAGTTTAGGCTCTTAATAGTTGATTAAAAATACCAATTGAGATTATAAATTTAATTTAATTATTTTAAATTTACTTTTATGGTACAAGAGCATCGTTTTTAATTTTTGAACAAATAATTTATTTTAATTTCATATACCACTTAATCAGACGATTAACCCTAATAAAATTTTATTTTTTGGAGATATCACTCGTCATCTCTCCCTCTTTCCTTTCAGCAAGAATGATATATACAGAGTTGGCCCTGGACCCAAGCAAAAGAAGCATGGACTTGTGGCCGCTAGATATTATCAATAAATCGGATACATTTTCTTAAAAATGTGTCTGTAGTTTAGTGGTTAATTAACCATTGCGCTTGCGCCGAGACCAGAATTTGAATCCTCCCACCTGCAGAAAGTTTTTTCCGGCTTTTTTTTTTTTTAATTTTGGCTTCTGGGCCTTGAAAATTCTAGGCCCGGCTCTGGATATACACCCAAATAACAAGAAGGTTTCTTAACAGTTTGCAACTAATTAAGGAGCACTTCTAATACTGGTGTCTTTGCCAAATCAACAGACGGTTTGTTTCAAAAGCTTCTCAAAGTGCAGTCTTACGTCACTTATGAGTACTTAAAATAAGAAAATCATCTTTCATTTAGTGGAACATTCTATTTTCCATGCTATTGTTGATTGATTCTGTTATGAGCTCTGAGCCTGACAAATGTTTTCAAAAGCTTATATAATATATAATGATATATATCTCTGGCGTCAGAGAATATATTATACACATAGTAATGCAAACATGAGAGAAACATGGCGAATGGATTTGAAGATTTATTTATAATGGATCATCTCCTGAAGCTCCTCTTCTCTTTGGGTGCTTCGTCTTCCTCCGGCAGCTTCACGATCGTGTATGTTCCTGCTCCGATCAACGCTCCAAGGATCGGGGCAGTAAGGTAAATCCAAATGGCTCTGTAATTGTTTGCTGCGATGGCTGGACCTAGTGTTCTTACAGGGTTCATCGAAGCTGAAGTTGCTGGTCTGTTTATCATAATCAACAAAACATTAATATATAATATAAGATTGAAGAAGAGACAATGGTGACTTAGATCAATCTAGTGAGTAATATATTACCCAGCTATGAGTATGTTAAGCATCACCGTTGCTCCTACCGCTATTCCCGCCAACTCTCCCACCTGTCATTTTATATTTTATTTTCAGACACTGATAGGTGTTTCAACAGTTTTTGTTCTTTTTAAAATTTAGTATGAAGTGTAAGATTTACAGCTCTAGTGTCGGTGGCTACGGCAGTGACAACAAACATAAGGTTGAAACTGATTATGAACTCCAAAGCGAAAGCTTGGCTGAGACCCACCGTTGGTACCGTCACACCACCGCTCATCGTTGGTTCAAACACTGCTTTTAGCGCAAAAGCCGCACACAAGGACGCCATCACCTGCGCTCCTATATACACCGGCACCTTTTTTTTTTTACAAATAATAAATTGTTTAGACACTAACATATTAAAGAACATTCCAAAAAGAAAACAAAAACGGTTTGAATTATGAAATTTTGTAGAGTATATCTTAATGAACTCATATGTTGAAGTTGCGTGTGCATGTGCATGTTCACGTGTTTCTCAGTAACATCCAAAAATGTATAAAAGAAATTAGATTTAAGTAACTGACGCTTTTGTCAGTAACATCCAAAAATGTAGTAAAAGAAAGTAACTGACATGTTTCCAAGGGAAGTGTTTAAGAGCAGCAAATGCAATGGTGACAGCCGGGTTTAGATGTGCCCCGGAGATGTGACCGGTCGATAATATAACGATCATAACGGCAAGACCAGCCGAGGCGGCGCAGCCTATAAGCGTCACCGCTCCATCTGTCTTCTGATTCACAATCGCAGTGGCTGTTCCAGCGAAGATCAGTATCAATGTCCCAACAAACTCTGCTCCCAACTGTACACAATTAATGAATGCATCTTTAGAGCATGTTTTATATATGGAAGGGTGACAAGTTTAGTGTGTGTATGTACGTTTACCTTACGGTAAAGGGAGACGTTAGGAGGAGGTATAGCGCAAGAGACAGGAGGGAGTCTTCCATCTTCAAGAGCCCACTCATTGTCAACACTGAAACATTTGCAGCTTTTCAGAATTGACTTTGGTGTGTATTTACCATTATGCCCATTCCTCTTCCCTTCGAAACCTCCAAAGAGCGGTGCTCCTGGAGTCCCCGGTGTTGTCGCCGGCGTTGAGGGCATTGATGGTATTTCCTCGTGGTCCATATTGGAGAGATAAGATCCTTCCTTGAGGATGTATATATGTTTTTTTGATTGTAGTGTATTATAGATGGAGAGGATGTGTAGGGTATTTATAGGAGAAGATATAATATATGAGAGTTGACTTATGAGTGAAGGGATCCAAAAGAGATGATTTATTTTTTGGTTTGGAGTGAGTGGGTAGGTTGGTAATCCTCAGTTTCAATCCATGTTCCTTAAGATAGACTCTCGGCATAACATGAAATGTTGCTATCTTTATGAGAACGGGTCGTCTATACCATGTTTTTTAAATATATTTCTACGTACATGATACATGTATCGTAGTGTGTTAAAGACGCTTTTAGGATAAATGAATCATTGTGGATCGCTTTATCTCTGAACATGCATTATTTGCTTAAATTGTTCTTCACCATGAGAATCGAATACTTGGGTGTTTGTGTGTGGCTGTGAGTTGGTTAGCAAAGAGAATGATTATTAAAGCGATGGTTCCTCACCTTTCATTGTCACAGTCGACTCTCTCTTTTTTTTTGTTTCTTTTGTTATCTTTTTTGGATTAATCTGTGATACATGCAAAACAAAAAAAAAACTCACCAACGTATGAAGTACTTTAAGATTAACTGATATTATGTCTCCAAGGAATAAGTTTGTTCTTTTATTTTTAGAAAGAGGAATAAGTTTGTTTTTTTAACACTTGTTTATTGCTAATCGAAAAAGAGTAGAATAAAAGAGATGACAACAGAAGAATAAGTTTGTAGGATTGAAAGCGTTCTCAAAACTATAAGTTTGTAGACCCATATTCGCATTTTAACTTCTGTCTAAGTATACATTCTGTTATTGGAATTATACCTAATTGCACATTACGTACATACTATTATGTGTTCAAAAAAAGTACATTACATACTATTTGCAAAGTTTTATAAGTGGACTCCGTTTGATTGAGAAAACCATATAGAGACAGCTATAGGTCTATTCTTCCGAAGAATTTATACCTCATAGGACTAAATCACATTGCCTCATCGAATATATGTGGTGACGTTGAATATTTAGATATAAACATACGATATATATATATATATATATATATCTAATGAGAACTATGTGTGTGTGTCAATGAATGTGGTGGTAGGAACAACTCAGAACCGTTCAAAGATGGTGAAGAAGTGACTGTTTGTTCTAAAGCCCGACGTCACATCGCAGATTTTACATCATATGATACGATGTTTGTATGAATTTTTCGTGTTCTAACCGTATTCCCTAATTCTGTTTAGTTACTCTCTCTCTTTTGAGATAATTCCGATTAATTGAATTACTTCGATAGGCATATACAATGTGTGTGTGTTAATAACTGCGTTAGTGAAAATGAATTAGGACTAGCTATTTGCTTGCGTGTAAAAGAATACACATAGATTAATGGGAGACAATTGATATGATATTGAAGGGGATGTTTCAAAGGGTAAAGGAGAGGAGGAAGAAGAGTCTAGAAATGTTTGTAGGGTCGATAAAAAATGTCAAAAGGTCCGGTCTAAATAATTTTGTCCCTCACTAATCGTGGCTACCATGAACTGGTCAACTTTATTCCATATATTTTTCTTAGTTTTCTGTTTCTTAAAGAAAATAAAATAGCTGGCTCACTTCACTGTAGTCGTTGAGTCTTATTTTGTCTTTTTCTTCTTTATGTTCTTCAATTTATTTTAAATTTTGTGGATGTATAGCATAATTGACATGACGAGGTTTCAAACTTGTAACCAGCGTTTATGCTGTGGAACTCGTCTCTTTCTGATAATATTTATCTGTATAAATATATGAATGCACATCTATTTTTGCAGTGTACATAAACCACTGTATGATTTATGAAATTCCAAAATATTGTGCTATAGTCTGCCATACTAGCCTAAAACTTGGAAAGAGAAAATTGGATAAGTTTCTCAAATCAGCCAAAAGAAAAAAGAAACGTTATATTTATATACAACTCATAAGAAACATGAAACTATTATTTTTAGAACAGAAAAAAGGAACATGAAACTCTCGCTAGACTGTTATATTTGAGCCACACAATTAAAGCAAGCGTGACAATAGTGGTGTCAAAGGGAAATGTGATACAATTATTGTGCTCGATTATTGGATTTGAAATTAATAATGATTAATGTCGCCCCAATATACTCTTCGATGAATTACTCATTTTGGGAAAGGTTGTTGTCAACAATCACATATGCCACAAAAAAATGCTGAGATTCAAACAATACATTCTCATAAAAATATAAATCTTATATTCAGCGTTAAGTTGTTCTACTGATATACTCTTGTTTTAATTATCTAAAAGAAAATAAAAGTTGAAGAAATTATGATCAATGAAATTCCTCTATTTTTGGTTTACTCACGATCTGATCTTTTTGCAAACTAATAATATCAATCCATTGACTTAATATTATATTGCACCGCGCTATTATCTTTAATTGCATAACGTACATTTATGTCAATAAGTCGCAAAGGAATACCATAAAACTAGATGATAACCCGCGCGCATGCGCGGATGAAATTTTTATACCAATACTTATTCATTAAATGATTTTTAACATTTTGCAATACATCGATTATAAAATGATGAATACAAATTTTGGTATCTTAAACCATCACAGGTCTGGACGTTTGAGACTTCGTCGGTTTTGGTTTGATTGAGATGTATTTTCAGATTTTTGTATTATTCTCATAAATCCTATTTGAATTTTACTAATTATCGGATTGGATTCGATTTGGTCTTCTCAATTCAGTTTAAATTGGATTCTAACCAATATCTGAAATCATCCCAAAAAATATTTTTTAAACATTAAAAGTTGACAAAAAATTCAAAATATTTAAACTATTAATAAATCTAATTTAAAATTAGCTAAATTATCTAAACAAACTAAAGGATATTTTTTTCAAAAAGCAAATAAAACAAACTAAAAAAATCTTTCGAATACTATAATTTGTATCTACTAATCTCAAACCTTTTCACTGAAATTTTTAAATTAACATATTTATAATATGAATCTCTACTAATGATACTTCATATTCGTACGATTTATGATAATTTGTATCTTGTTTGAAAAAAAAAAAGTTAAACCATTGATCATAAAATTTTCAATGTAGGATTTTACTATTTTTAGTTATTTATGGTCCTTTTAAGAAATTAAAAATATAACCTATATTATATATTTAATGTGATTGTTTAATTTATTTTAATAATTTAAAATTAAACAAAAAAGAGAGAGGACACAAAAATATATATTATTCATAATCATTAATTACATATATATGTTAATCATATTAGGTAATTCCGTAGCTTTTATTTAAGGAAAGAAAATATATTGTTTTATACCTAGTAGAGTTGGTCCCTTAAGAAATGTCAATCTCTATAATATTAATTGAGAAGTCAGTTTCCTACGTATCGCGCTCACGGTAACTCTCGAGATGGTTGATTACATAGATACCCTTAATAAATTGTTAGATTTTAAGTTTATTATTATTTTTATATAATTTATTTTTTACTTTTTTCCAAATAACATATAATAATAAAAAGGAAATATTTCTAAAATTTTAAAACAAATTTAAAACGAAAATATATGTATATAATTTGACTTTATTAAAAAGGAAAGTTCACAAAATAGTAATAACCCCATTAATATATATTTTTAAAATAACATAAAATATATTTTCAAAATAATAAAAATATATATGTTCATGAACATTCAAAAATTTATCAGTTACACTTTATTTTCTAATATTTTTTAGAAATCAACATATAATTTGATAAATATTATGAAAATACATGTATATTTAAGCAATAAATAAAATTAATTTGATTGGACTTACCTAAAATGAAAAGTAATTATACTTCAATTTTAATTTGAAAATATATTTAACTCAATATACTCACAAAATGAATGACTCTACTAATCTAATTTATATCCAAAATTAAATATCTAACTACAATAAGAGCATATAATTTTATAATAATAATAATAATAATCTATTTAATTTTATACATATAAATTAGTGGTTGACTCGAAGCATATTAAAAAGAAAAAGAAAATATTAACCAATTACAATTTAATTCTTTTGTAGAATTTATATATATTCATGAGACTTCAAATATTATCATTATATTCATTTATGTAATTGTGAATCAAACACTTCAGCTTATTATTTATTTCATTTTAAGCACAATATATATTAAGTTATACATAATTTAACTATAGTATATTTACATATTTAAGACAATAACCAACCGAAAAATAAGAAAATTAATCAAAGTTTTATTATATTCAGAATAAAAAATATTATAGCTGAATTCGAAAAATAGATATTATCCAATATACCAAATTGGTAACCAAACCAACTATTGATCCAAAAAATAATTAAACCGACAATAATATATCCAAAGCATATGCATAATTAGAATAATATAATATTTATTAATATAAATTATACATATAAATTTATTCAAAACTAAAAATAAATATCAATCAATTCTTATAAAATTTTACTTTTATGAATATTCATATCCGTGCATGAGCACGGGAAAATCACCTAGTATATTATAGTCCTAAATGTAAGAAATTAAACGTTACATTATTTCATTCCTAGCAAAGTTGGTCCATGAAAAAATTAAGGCTGAGAAACTCTGTGAGCTTGACACGTAAGCATGCTCTCCAAGATTGTGCATTTATGAATGTTTCATGATTAATATATAAGGGATTACCAAATAAAAGAACTTGAAAAACATAAGAAATAGGACAAAGCATGAATTTATAATTCTTAGTTTGCTTAAGATACAAATAGAGAAATACTGAAAAACAAGCCTTGACAAGCAAAACATAAAGCTCCTTGCTTATCAAGGAAAAACAAAGAACACATAGTTTCCATCCTTCATTGATCCTAATCCCTGTAAGACAAAACAGGACAGCAAAATAGTATTACAAATATATTATGCAATGCTAACAAGTAAGACGAAAATAGCACAACCCTACATTTATGTTTAACCATTGAATAATCTGCAAAAGTACTTACTGTACATCATACCGTTTAGGTTCTTTTGCGTTTAAGACCTCTGATCTGCTGAGTCATGTGAGAAATTCCTTCTTTGAGTGTTGCTTTTCTGCCATGTTCAAAATTCCACAGCATTGGAACTACGTACCGGCCACTTGGGTTAAACTTATTCAGTTCCTCGAGTGCTATCTTCACTGCGTTCTTCACGTCTTCACCAAACTCTTCACTCAAATTCTTAAGTTTCTCGTCATCATCATCCACAATTTCCTACAAAATGACCCATATGTAAACAATACTAGAAAAAAAAGAAAGTAAAAAGGAGCAAGAGAGAAAGAAAGTGCAAGTGATATATAGAAAAACCTTCAACGTATCTCCAGTCCCAACGAGTTTGAATGGGTACCAAGCTGGATCACTGAGTTCATCCTCCCATTTGGAGACTAACATGGCAGCTTGTTCCAACTGAATGACTTTATCACTGAATAACTTTTCGAACACTTTAACGAATGGCTTATCATCAACTTGACCAATCCTCTTCACTCTTATTGTTGATGCCTCACCGGATAAATCTCTCATTCCCTGCAGAAACAACATAAGAATCACATGTGGAAACCCAATAAAACCATATAATATATTATATCTCGAGAATATGAAAACATTTATTTTATTACGCTGAGTAATTCTTCGTATGCTTCTTGAATCTCAAGATTGCTTTGAATTGTTTTGACGCAGAGTACCGAGTTCATATCCTCTAAATGTTTCAACTCTTCATTCTTCTCGTTGAGTATTTTCTTGAACTCTTCGTCCTTCACCTCCATTGCTTTTATCAGCTCTGCATTCTTCAACTCCAACTTCGATTCTCTCTCCATGACGTCCACAGCTTTTGACTCCTCCTCACTTATTTTCTCCATCTCTTCAAAATCGTTCTTGTATAAATATTCAGCAACTGAGATTTTAACTCAAGTCATTTTATAGTATGTTACTGGTTGCTTCATCTTCCCCTGCTTTAATTAAAGGTTGACAGCTAAAACTGTGATTTTCAAAGCACACAAAAAACTTTTAGTTAAATGGAACTCTGCATGTATACAAATCGATAAGAAGTCGTATCGTTGTAGTAATTACTATTTTCGTTTTCCAATTTCAAGCTTTTTAAAAAAATTTATTGCACCGCCTGGTCAGTTTAAGAAACCGAAACAATTAAGAACGGTAGCCTTTTAAGTCATAATCCAGTGTATTAATATAAGGCCCATAAGTGACAAAAATAGAAGGCCTATTGACCCAAATAAAAAGGCCCATTAGTTTACATATTTTTAGGCGCACTGCACATGGTGAGCCGGGTCGGGTTATTGAGCCTGTATCCATTGTGTGTTACAAAGCGAGAAAGGAATAGAGGTGCCAAACAGCTTGATGCACTCATGAAACTATATGTTCATTTGGCATTCTTCCTTGTGTTCCCTTGCGAAATGATTTGTTGTCTTACCAAATCAGAAATTGCTCTCTTGTTTTAAGGAACTGGCTCTACCTTTAAAAGGATACATAGAAAGTTTTCCAAGGAGGAGACTCTTGCATCCATAAGAGCGGTCTCTTATTGAGCTGACACTTGTTAATATGAATCATATGGTTTTCTGGTCCAATGGTTTGATCCTTTTGAGTTAAGCATTTGGCAGGTTTTGAGAGCGATGCCAGTTGTTGATTTGGAAATGCCAACTCTTTGTCTTGTTGGAGCACCAAACGTTGGCAAGTCATCTTTGGTCCGCATTCTTTCAACAGGGAAGCATGAGGTTTGCCTTATTATCCCAATATTCATATATACATTGTAATAATAACTTGCACTGTCCCTTCCTTATATGATTGTTTGGCATGCCAGATTTGCAATTATCCTTTCACCACCGGAGGAATTCTGATGGGTCACGTCATTTTTAACTAGCAACGATTTCAGGTAATGTTACTTGTTTTGCTTCGTCAAATCACATTTCTCATGATTTGGATTGTTAATTAGCAGGTGACGGACACCCCTGGGCTTCTCAGGAGATGTGATGGTAAAGTCTAGTTGCTACATAACTCTCGTGTGGGGATGCATGCTTTTATGATATTTGATCAAGTTTTGATTGTTTTTATTGGGGTTGATACAGAGGATCGGAACAATTTAGAGAAGCTAACTCTTGCTGTACTCACTCATCTTCCAACCGCGGTTCTATATGTTAATGATTACTGAGTACTGAGATGGAGAAGATCAAAAGTGAAGTGAGAGTTGATCCAACTGTTCCTAGTTCTTAGAATAGAGAGATTTTGCCTTTTACCGAAACCCATTGTAAGCTTTTTTCACTGTTTCTTTAATAGGATTGATACGTTAATGCATTATATATCAAAATGTTAAATAATTGATAAACACCTATAAATAGTGTATGTTCATGAGAGCATTATACACTATTAGCCAAATCAAATAGCAAGAATAGGTTTAAGGTAAATGCTTTACTCCTTTTCTCTCTCTGTTTTTCCTCCCCTGCCTCTCTCAAAGACTTGGTTCCCAAGCAACTCATAGGTTTCTTTTTTTTTTCTTGTAGAGTTCTAAAGAGGGAATCTATCTTTAACGGCTCGCTCTCTGCACACCAAGATTCTCTCTTTCCCGTGTCGCGTAAGTTTCTGATTTTTCTTGTTTCTTTCCGGCAATACAACTTCCTCATTCTCGACTCTATTTTGATGCCGTAGTTCCCCCATTTCCGTGTCACACAAGTCTTAGGGTTTCGTCTTTCCTTGTTTCCCTCGTAAACTTTCCTTACGTCTCGATTATTATGGTTTCCCCTGAAAGTTCTCAAGCCTTAGTTGATATGTTCTCAAACTCGTAAGCTGCTTTTTTTCTAGCCTTAAGATTGCTCTATGGACAAAAGTGTTTCTTAGATTTACGATCTTGATTTTCATGGGGGTGTGTAATGTTACGATCACCAATGACTAATTCTCTCTGTTTCCGGCTTAGAACTTTCTCACAAACCTCTAGTTTCTGATTCTCCACTAACTTACAATCTTTCTCTGTGTCTAAGCTTTTACACAGTTGGCTTGCGTTTTAAAGGAGTAAATAAAAAAAAACAAGAAGAAGATGGATGCTGTTCATGAATTGCAGAGGAAGATCAATGATTACGAAAGGAAAAGATTTCACTACGAACGCAAGATTAGTCGTCTTGAGGATGATCTTTTCCAGAGGGATCAAGAGATCATACGTGCAAAGTTCACAATATTGCAGGTACGTATATATATATATCTCATTCTCATTCAGATAAAGCTATGGCTGCATCATGTTTCATTTTTCTTATAAAAAATTATAGGCTCTGCCAGGACTAAATACTCCAGAGAATGGTCCATTGGTTGACATAGTAAGAGTCCCGGGATATCTAGACCCAAAGATGTTTGAAACAGCGTGTCTCAAAGCATGCCTCAATAACCCATCTGATGGTCGTGAGGGAGAATCAACGAGGAAGGATAGAGCAATTCTTGATGCCGAAACTCTGTGCAATGAGTGGAGAAGCAAAACCAGTAATGGACTTTGGAGGCTTTACACTGAGGTTCCGGAACAAGGAGGAGAAGAAGACAACTGGATACAAGTGGAGGCGGAGGATCTGCTGGACGTCAAAGAGAAATATGGTGAGGAGCTCTACAAAGCTATTAAGATAGCATGGACTGAGTCAAAAGAAGGTAGAAGAACAGGGGTGCAACTGAAGCCTTGGGATTATGAAGCTGGGAGGGAGAAAACATTAACAGAGCTACTTGTTCCACTTCGAGAGCAGATCCAGTTCCTCACTATGAAAACCAGTGAAGAAGGAAAATAATATATGAAAACAAGCTATGGGATATACCAATAATATGAGTCTCTTGTGTGTTAGTTTCCAATTGAGATTGGTTTAGGCTAATTAAGCATGCCTGTTAATTGGAATTCTTAACAGCACACTCTTTCATGTTTTGACCTCTTTTTTTTTTGCTTGAGATAGTTGAGTATAATTCTTTGTAATAGTTAATTATTTTCGATAATTATTTAAAATCTTCTCTAGATGCCTAGTAGACTGACTATGCTAATGCCATTATCAAACGTCTCTTAATCTACAAGACATAATTTTATATCAGAATTTTAAGGTACACGATTGCTTATGTTCCCACACTTTTGTGTGTATTTAACTACGGTTTGTAAAAATCCTAGCGGTTAATTTTTAATTTTATTCATCTCCTATAAATATGAATTTCGGCATACTATTGTTTTAGCAAAATATGCAGAAACAAAAAATGCGACATGAAAAGAGTAACGATCCTAATAAAGAAGACATAAACAACAAAAATGAAAAAAAAGTAAAAAAAAATAAAAAAAGTAAGAAAAATGAAGACAAGTTTGATTTTTTAAATAAATATCACTTCTTCTCCTACCATTTGCCCTTTCGAGTTTTGATAAACCACCACCACCACAACATCCTCTGAAACCCTAGCCACCACCAATCGCCGCTTACTCTTCCATCTACCAGGTTCGATCCCCACCCATATGACCTCCCTCCTTTGATTTTCTCCATTTATTTATCGAAATTAAAATGTTTCATTGTGTGTTGGATTAATCGCAGATTTAAATGAAACCGGATCGGATCTACCTCTAGATCCGTTCTAGGTTTTTTATTTCTACATCCTCCCACCGTCTCCTCCAGATGCCCCCGAGATTCATCACAACACATAGCCATCATCATCATGTCTCTGTTTCTAAAAGACGATTCGATCCAAATCCGCGAAGTGTGGAACGATAACCTCCAAGAAGAAATGGATCTGATCCGAGAAGTCGTCGACGATTTCCCTTACGTCGCCATGGACACCGAGTTCCCCGGAATCGTCGTCCGCCCCGTCGGAACATTCAAATCCAACGCCGATTACCACTACGAAACCCTAAAGCTAAACGTCAACATCCTCAGCATAATCCAGCTCGGCCTCACCTTCTCCAACGAGCAAGGCAACCTCCCCACCTGCGGCACCGACAAATACTGCATCTGGCAGTTCAACTTCCGCGAGTTCGATCTCGACTCCGACATCTTCGCCGTCGACTCCATCGATCTCCTCAAGCAATCTGGCATCGACTTCGCCAAGAACACTCAAGAAGGGATCGAGTCGAGGAGATTCGCTGAGCTCTTGATGTCCTCAGGGATCGTGCTCAACGAGAATGTACATTGGGTTACTTTCCACAGTGGATACGATTTTGGTTACTTGCTTAAGCTCTTGACGTGCCAGAACCTGCCTGATTCGCAGACGAGTTTCTTCGAGCTGATCAATGTTTATTTCCCCACGGTGTATGATATTAAGCATCTGATGAAGTTCTGTAACAGTCTTCACGGGGGTTTGAATAAGCTGGCGGAGTTGCTGGAGGTGGAGAGAGTTGGGATCTGTCACCAGGCGGGGTCGGATAGTTTGCTCACGTCGTGTACTTTCAGAAAGCTTAAGGAGAATTTCTTCGTTGGTCCGTTGCAGAAATATGCTGGTGTTTTGTATGGATTAGGTGTTGAAAATGGTCAGGTTGCTCTCTAATATCGAAATAAAAAAGTAAGAAAATTCAAATAAAAATTCCTTAAACCTATATCCTTCTCTCTTTTTACTTTTTTTTTTTTAACATGAGTTTGTGTTGAGCATACTGATCGCAGAATCGTAGAACTTTGAAAACTAGGATCATTAGTGAAGCGCCATGAAATCTGTGTCTAAGACAAAAATTAGGCAAACCCAGTTTTTGTTACAAGACCGTAAAGAAACTGAACTGTGTCTTGGTTCTGTCTGAATTATGATTGATTTTTGTGGGCATAACTTAAGGCCCGTTGGTTGACATACCCAATTAGTTGTAATTATTGACTGTGATTCGGGCTTATCTAAGTGATTTCCCTTACAAACTTTAACCAATTACAACTAGATAAGAGTTGGTGTGTCTTAGGCCTATAAAAAAAAGTCCATTCTTAGTTGCTTGTATGAGTCCCTATAAATTTGTGTTTGACGTGATGAGGCTGATCCTGTTATTCCTCCTATCGCTGAGGCAACTGCTATGCCCGAGGACATGGAGCTGACTCCAAGGAAGTCACGTGCTCACGGTGGTGTGACCAGAGCTGATGAAAGTGCCAAACTTATTGAGGAGCGTACCGCTCATCTCTACAGTCTGTAACCAACCTGATTATGTCAAGCTTGTTAAAGCTCTATGTGCTGATCCTAAATCAATTTGCTTAATCTTTTTAAGTGCCAAGACCCTTGGTGAATGGGCTGGTTTAAGTATTGCAGATAGCTTGTTAAGTAACATATGGCTTGGTCGAGTAAAATTGATAGTCAGCTTATATGAGGGGAGATTTGTAGACAAACAAGTAATCAACTTGATTTGATCAAATACTATCAAGGAAGAAGAAGGCGGGAACATTCTGTTATTAGTATGTGCTAAAAAGGAAAAGTGACTTTAGTTTTTATAGGTAAATCCAATTATATAGTTACCAGAAGTTTAAACTAACTAAACAAAATTTGCAGTGTATAAACTCTCCTTAATTCTTCTCAAATTTCAGTTTTTGTTATAAAATAATAATTTCCCGTTTTCAGCAATAATGGAAACATTTTTCTGTGATTCAAACACAATCTAGTGTTTATGGAAAACAAAATAAAAAAAGAACCGATACCTTTATAGTATAGTTAGTGGTAGTATATAAGTGGTTATGCATGTTTAGCGCACACCGCTTAACCTCACAAGTCACAACCTTTTACCCCCCTCGAAAGCTCTCTCTCTCTCTCTCATTTTGCTGTCTTGACGACCCACCCCCTTATGAGGATCCCAAGCGTTTGGTCGATAACAGTGTTTTCGAATTAAGACACAGTTTTGATGTTCTGTTTTATTTTCTAGGGTTTTGAAGTTTGAGAATTTCTGGGAACAAAATATGTCTTCTATTGTTGGATTGAACCATCTCTCGGAAGCACTCATCGATGCTGGAAACAGACTTCTCAGCCCTCATTCTTCAACCGACGAGCTTCTTACTCTTCTCGATGTACGGTCTTCTCTCTTTGATTCCTCCATTAAAAATCGTGTCTTTGTTTTGTTAGGTTTGATTTTACGAAAATGCAATTAGGGTTTCTATTTCTTGCCGCTAAGGAAATCTCGATTGATGATTTTAGTGGATTATTCGGTGAAAGCTTGCTCCTTTCTAGGTTATCGAACTTGTTAATTTGGTTGGAGCAGCGAATAGGTTTCTATTGAATCTCTAATTTCAATTCCTTCATGTGTGTTGTAGGAAACTGAGTCTCTGCTTAGAAAGGTGGAGCAAGATCAACCCTTGTCAATGCAAAATGCCCTAATCCCCTCCAAGAATGCTTTGGTTTCAAGTGACCTCTTAAGCCACCCTGATTCTGATGTTAGGGTTTCTGTTGTCTCCTGCTTAACTGAAATCGTCAGGATTACTGCCCCACAGGCACCTTACACTGATGATCAGATGAAGGTAAACAAAACAAAAAATCAAATCAAAAGTCTAGTAACACTCTCTTCATCTCTCTCTTGAAGTCTGCTTCTTTGGTATCACAGGAAATCTTCAAATTGACGATAGAAGCTTTTGAGAAGCTAGCTGATGCGTCCTCTCGCAGCTACCAGAAAGCTGAGTCTGTTCTTGATAATGTATCAAAGGTCAAATCATGTTTGGTCATGTTGGACTTGGAGTGCGATGACCTCATTCTACAAATGTTTCATATCTTCTTGAAAATCATAAGGTAGATTTAGATATACAAAACCTAATTCTCTAGAAACTCTTTAGATCATATACTGAACTGGTTTATCTGTGTGTGCGCATCTGTTAGATCTGATCATCCACGAGTGGTGTTTTCGTCCATGGAGATGATAATGATTACAGTATTAGATGAAATCGAAGAAGTGTCCAGGGATTTTCTCGATACTTTGTTAGCTAGTGTCAAAAAGGATAATCAGGTTAGGTTTCTTCCTATTAGAAGTTATTCATGTTGCCGTTAAAAGACTTTGGATTTAGTTGTCTTCACTTCATGTTTTAGAATGTTTTACCAATGGCTTGGAGTCTTGTGGAGAAAGTTCTTAGTAGATGTGCCCGTAAACTTAAACCATACATTATGGAAGTTTTGAAGTCTACAATGGCCAGCTTGGATACGTATTCTCCAGTAGTTACGACCATATGCCAGACTGTTTTTGAAACTCCAAAGGTCCACAATGTTGTTGACGCCAAAGAAAATGAGGTATTCTTGATACCCTGAGCTCGTTCATTCTAGAGTTTCAGCATCTCTTTACAGTGTTATTTAACCAACTCTTTTGATCTAGGACAAACTGGTTTTGGGGCATCCTCGTAAGGAGACTCGTTCTAAAAGTGGTTCCAAGAAACCTGCTAGAGATGGAACTCAACGAATCAATGTGCATGAAAACTTAAGTAAAGGAAAGCAAGTCTGGTCTGAAAGTAGAGATGCAGAAACAGATTTAGGAGTTACAGGGAAGAGAGGACGGAAACCAAATTCATTGATGAATCCTGAGGAAGGTTATGACATTCCTTGTCTTTCCGGGAAAAGAGATTCTTTAAAGACATGTTCATCAAACAAAAAGCTTCAGAGAAAAGGATCAGGAGGAGGAGAATCATCATCACTTGAAAAGCTGGCTGCAAAGAAAACACCTCCGGCTGCTAAAGAATCTTCCCCAGCCACTTCTAGTAGGGCTCTGACGGGTTCAGTTAAACGAAGCAGGGTTAAGATGGAGGACACTGATCATGATTTAGATTCTCTTTCTTCATCACCGAAATTGAAGAAGTTGGCATCATGCTTCCGGGATGAAGAGCCTCTTGAGAAAGAATCAAACCAGGAGAGCTATGAAATACCAGAAGATGACACAAAGATAGGAGAATCAAGCAAGAAGATAAAGTCCCAGAATGGCGGGAAAAAGAAGCCAATTGTGAACTCCAGCGGAAAAAGATCATCAGCTCGCACAGCTGCTAAAAAAAAGACTTTGGAAGGTGCATCTTCGGATACTCTTGTTCCCCAGTCATCAAATGACAAGGTAGAAAACGAGATGATCATATATATATCTTCGTTACTTAGTGATTTCATAAAAATTTATGTTGAATCTCATTTATCGACCAACCTTTGCAGAAGAAGAAACCTCAAGTGGAAGCTAGACCATCAGCAGAAGAATCTGAAGAAACTTCAAAAAGCCATTCAGTGAGGAGTCGGACAGCAAGAAAAGAAGTGGTATAATAAGCTCTGTCGCCTTCTGTCTCTCCATTATTAGCCTTTTATTGTCACGCATCTGTTGCAAACTGGTATATATATCTTTCCTGTTTTTTTAGGAGTCTGATACGAATGGCTTTGGTGCGGATTTAGTCGGTAAGAGAGTTAAAATCTGGTGGCCGCTCGACAAGACGTAAGTGCATATTAATGTTGAAGGTTTTTGTTTTTAATTGTAGTTTAATCGTTGCGTTCTCGTTGACCTTCTTTCGCTGTGCAGTTTTTATGAAGGCGTCATAGATTGTTATTCTGGTCGTACGAAGATGCATCGGGTGAGATACCATCTCTGATATGCTACCCAATTATGTTGCTCCTATCAGAATTATGGAACCCCACACATTGTTGCAGGTATCATATACTAATGGAGACGTAGAACAGCTTAATCTCGTTAATGAACGCTGGAAGTTACTTGAGGATCTCCCTTCTGCCAGTGAGGTACTGTGTTTCTTTGTTTGCAAAAGAAGTAACCTAATAAACAGTGACTTCTTTAATTAATGATATCATAAGACTCTGCTGAATCTCATGTATGGACCGACCTTTGCAGAAGAAGGTTACTCAAGTTGCAGCTAGACCATTGGCAGAAGAATCTGAAGAAAATTCAAAGAGGCAACCAATGAGGAGCCGGACAGCAAAAAGACAAGTGGTATAATAAGCTCTGTCTGTCGCCTTATGTCCCCAAACATTAGCCTTTGGTTGTTACATATCTGTTACCAACTGATATATAACTCTCTTGTCTTTTCAGGGTTCTGACAAGAATGGCTTTGGCGAGGATTTGGTGGGTAAGAGAGTTAATATCTGGTGGCCGCTGGACAAGACGTAAGTGCATATGATAGTTGATTGTTCTTGTTTCTATGTGTGACTTAATCGTTGCTTTATTTTTGATTGTCTTTCACTGTGTAGTTTCTATGAAGGCGTTGTAGCGACTTATTCCAGTCGTAAGAAGATGCATCAGGTGAGTTACGATCTTTGATCTGTTACTCGACTATGTGTTACTCGTGTCAGAATCATGGAATATTTGTTCCCCCACATTTGGTTGCAGGTAGTATATACTGATGGAGAGTCAGAACAGCTTAATCTCGGTAAAGAACGCTGGGAGCTACTTGAGGATCTCTCTTCTGATAGTGAGGTATTGTGTTTCATTCTTTGTTTCACGTGAAATGCTTAATGATTTCCCCCAAAATCTACTAGGAGGATGATCAGCAGGATATGGAGATTGATCTGCCAGAATCCACTCCTTTATTTGACATGTGAGTAAAAAAAGGATCATGTGTCATCAGCAGCTTCTCATTACTGTGATCTTGTGTAAAGTTATGTTGTTATGATCGTGCAGAATGCAGAAAGTCAAGAAAGGCAAAAACGTGGCGTTGTCCTCTAAGAAGGATTCTGGCAAAAAGGCAAGGGTGGAAGGGAAGAATCTCAAATCGTTGAAAGAGTTGAGTGCTCAAACCCAGAGAAGGGAAGAGCAGGAAGCGAGTCGAGATGTGGACGAGGAAAGCGAAGATGAGTATTATAACAGTGAGATGCATGAACAATCCGAAAACAAAAGTGAAGAGAACCTGAAATTGACTGAGACAGAAGCCAAAGAAGAAGATGAACAGTTTCAAAATCCAGAGGCTGAGAGCGAGAGAGATGGCTCAGAGTCAGAAGAAGAGCCGAAGTGGAGAGAAACAGATGATATGGAGGATGAGGAAGCAGAAGAGAGAGAAGAAGAGGCTGGTGATAAAGTGCCAGAAGAAAGCACAAGCCTCTCTGAGATTGAGAAAGACGCTGATGAAGAGAGAGGGTCTTGAACTGGAGTTTATACAATGGAACCGAATCGTGAACAAAAAACATTTACTTAAGACTCTCTATTTCTTTCATTTATCTTTGTTACTTAGATTGTTATTGAACCTGTTAGAGAGATATGAAGTCACCTGGATTGTGTTGTGTCTCTGAGAGTTTGTGCCATTTGTATTTTAGGAAAGCATAATCGTTGTTTACGAGTTAAAGAGCCACGTTTGTCACGTGAGAATTTCAATTCTGAACTTATTGAGAAGCCACCCGGAAATTTTCTGTGTGTTCAATTACATTCAACCATCTTGGGACAGGACACGGTTTGAATAAGACACTCATCTTGTCCAAATATTCACTTTGTCAAAGATGGCTTCTAAAGTCTCACCTTTGGGCAGTCTCCTTTTCTTTAAAATATTTCCTATGAAAAAACATATAAATCTAATGGTCAAGAATGATGTTACTTTTACTGATAACAAAAAATATATAGTACTGTAACATCAGATCAATTGGCTAATTAGTTGAAATACGGACGTATGCTCAAGGGAACTTTCCTATTGGTAAAAACAGGTTGGGTCCCCTGGCTTTTAAGTTTTATTAATTCATGTACTCAGTGTCAATATTCTCAACTTCTCACCACCACTTGTTTTCTTAATTAGGGTATATAAAATTATAAGTTTAAGCCAAGATAATGGATTATGATACACCAAGAAGAAACAAATTAGAAATAAAAAGGCAAGGCATTTCTCGTAGATTTGTATATAAGATATGAAAGAACGTACGTACAATTTACTAACTCCTTATCAAGGTCTTCTAGAACTCATATACATGGATCATAAACTTAATGTTTATGGGAGAATGCTGCCAAAAAAAAAAACTTAATAATTGGAGTAATTGGCAATCTTCTTATGTTGTTTTAAAATATATATTTACAATTTTCCTTTGCTGGTTTTATGTGGCAATTTCGAAAAATTTAAAAGACAACCAAATAAGGCTTTCCACTTGGTAAGTAAAAGTCAGATTCACAACACCTTTGGTTGACGATTTTGTTTGACCTTAATTGGGAATGCATTTACACTTATTACCTACAACTTTGAAACTATACTACTCATTCTCTAGTGCCCTTAAAAAAAAATAAAAATATGAATTCCCATAGTTCTTCATTCACCAACTCTTTACCTTGGTTAGGTGAAATAAAGCCAAATAGTAACTTATGAAACGGTGACTTCTTTTTGTAGTCTCTATAAATACAAACCACAACGCTTCTTCCAAACGACACATCATAACTTATAACATATCCTCTCCCTCTCTTGGGCCCCTTAAACCTTCTTACCCAACAGAAAAAAATGCATGCCGACGGGAAACTTGTTTGCGTCACAGGAGCCGGTGGCTACATTGCTTCTTGGATCGTTAAGTTACTCTTGGAGAGAGGCTACACCGTTAGAGGAACCGTACGCAACCCATCTGATCCCAAGAACAACCACCTCAGAGAGCTTGAAGGAGCCAAAGAAAGACTAACTCTTCACAGTGCTGATCTTCTCGACTACGAAGCTCTTTGTGCCACAATAGATGGCTGCGATGGCGTTTTCCATACCGCTTCTCCGATGACTGATGATCCCGTTAGTAACTATATTTAATTTCCTAAAAATAGGTTAATCCATAAATATTACTCTGTTTTCTTAGGTTTAATCTTATTAATTAATGGTGTTATAGGAGACAATGTTGGAACCGGCTGTGAACGGAGCTAAGTTCGTGATAGACGCGGCTGCTAAAGCCAAGGTGAAGCGTGTTGTGTTCACATCATCCATCGGTGCTGTTTACATGAACCCTAACCGTGACCCTCAAACCATAGTCGACGAAAGTTGTTGGAGTGATCTTGATTTCTGCAAAAGCACAAAGGTATATGAATATTTTTAATCAACATATTTTTGGCAATGAGTTTTATTCAAACCAACCGACCGAAATACATGTGATACAGTAGCTATATGTTTTAGACAAGCGACCAAAACCAACCGACCGAAATACATGTGATACAGTAGCTATATGCTTTAGACAAGCGACCAAAACCAACCATGTGGCTATGTATTAAGTTGACGTGTTTGACCTATCTTTTGGTGTTTTGTAGAATTGGTATTGCTATGGGAAGATGGTGGCGGAACAATCAGCATGGGAGACGGCAAAGGCTAAAGGTGTGGATTTAGTGGTGCTAAACCCGGTTCTAGTTCTTGGACCACCGCTCCAGTCAGCGGTCAACGCTAGCCTAGTCCATATCCTCAAGTACCTCACCGGCTCAGCCAAGACTTATGCTAACCTAACTCAGGTCTATGTGGACGTCCGTGACGTTGCACTAGGCCATGTTATGGTCTACGAATCATCCACTGCCTCAGGCCGTTACATCCTCGCTGAGACGGCGCTTCACCGCGGTGAGGTTGTTGAGATTCTTGCTAAATTCTTCCCGGAGTATCCGCTTCCCACCAAGTAAGTCAAACGTTTTAACTCTTTGGTCAAAATTATATCAAAGTCAACACGATCTTGTTGGTCTAGTAAAATACAACCTTGGATTTTACAAACTATTTGAGTTTGATTTTTGATACTTGAAGCAATCTAATTAAGATTATCTTTTTTCAACAAAATCAATAAAAAAAATTAGTTAGGATAAAAGGGACATGAGTGGTAGTTGGTATTGAAATGTGTTACCATTTGTCCCATATATCAAAATTGGTATGTACTAACTCTCACATCACAAGGTCCACATCATGTTTCACCTACTGCTGACGTTGAGATCTTGCAAAATCCTATGTGTACACGTGTTTATGTTTGTTTTTCTTTGGATTTATACAAAAAAATGGTGTAGTCTTGTTACTGGTCCAACTCCATTTGACAAAAGAACTAGAGTAGTGTTAACTGTATTTGTATGTTCTTTCTTCACCTACTCCATAGTTTGGTCACTAGTTTCATGACTTGTGTCTCCTTTGGCTAGTTCAATAACTGATACGTTACTTTAGAGTGATATACAAGAAGCCATTTCCAGGTTGTGGTATTAACATATAGTGTACTTATATTATAATAATTGTAGGTGTTCGGACGAGAAGAATCCGAGAGCAAAGCCATACAAGTTCACTACTCAAAAGATAAAAGACTTGGGGTTGGAGTTTACACCCATCAAGCAATCTCTCTACGAATCTGTCAAGAGCTTGCAAGAGAAAGGCCATCTTCCTCTTCCTCAAGATTCGCCTCAAACAACGTCTTAATCGATTCCTAAAAAACGATACCACCATGATCTCTGATCATACACCCACATAATAAGTTTTATTCTAAAGTATACGTCTGAATATGACTAAGTTATTCGTTTAATCTTGAAGCATATATATATAATTATATGTAGTTGAATGCTCTTTTCTTTTTGTAATTGAAAATGTCACTCAAATGTATGATGTATGATATGATTGTGGAAGAAATGATTTTATTATCTGGTGTTATTATAACGTTGTCCCTTACATAAAAAAAACCTACGAGAAAGAAAAAACAGTTCTTATGAGATCTAAAAACCTGTCTACTAGCAATATCGAAAGGTCTCTGTGGACTTAATGAGTCTATTGAATCATGTCGACAATGTCCTGTCTTGGAAGTGTCTCCACAGTTTGTGAACTAGTTGATGCAGGGAGAGTAGCTTTTCTGTTTTTCCGAAAAACTAGATACGCTATGGAAACTATGTAGATGGCAATGCCTGAAAATCCAAGAATTCCACAGGAGAGGACAAGGACATGCTTCATGTGGCTATGATGAAGCAGGTTAATGAAACTGTTTACTATATAGTATATGTTTATCCCCATGATTAAAAAACCAATCACCCATGTCAAAGCTGAAATCTGTTTACAAAAAAAAATAAGAAACATATGAAGTTAAGAGATATTTTTTTCTTTGGTTTAGTGAAAGTGAATATGCGTTTGAATGTTACATACTGCCATATGGTTTACGTGTGAACCCATCTTAATTTTGCAGCTAGTGAACTTGAGAAGAGGAACTAGTGCAAATGGCAGCTCAAAAGACAGGATCATCTGTTTAAAGTTTGTTCAATCAATTATTAGATTTTTGGTGTGGTAAGGTCATAGAAATATAAAGATGTGTCTGGAGATGGGAATGAATGTGTTACCGAGGCAATGATGATTAACTGTCCAGCTCCAGCTGAACCACCAATGAGAGCAACGACTAGACTTGGGATAATAGCTAAGCATCTTGTTAGTAAGTTTCTGATCCATGGCTTGAGTCTTAGATCAAGAAACCCTTGCATCACATATTGTCCAGCATATGTTCCGGTTATAGTTGAGCTCTGCCCTGAAGCAAGAAGTGCGATAGCGAATAGCTTTGAACTCCATTTACCCACAACGTTCTGTTTCAAAACAAAGGTTTAATGTAACATTATAGAAAGAAGCAAAAAAAGCAAGCAAGCAACTAACCCTTAGCAGAAAGGAAGCCTTGTTTAAGTCCAAATCCTCACATTTAGCTCGGTCTTCGGGGGTTAAGTCTGAGGCATTACAGACAGCACCACTTACTGATATCACAGAGACGTTTATGAGAAAGGCTACCGATAGAGCAAATCCGCTTTCAATCAGGTAAAACCTACGAGCCTCCTTTATGCCAGTAGCTGAACGTGGTATTTTTCTGGAGAGAACCAAAGCAGAGTGGAGGAAGAGATTGTGCCTGTGGAGAAGACACAGTCGCATAAGATTTTATAATGAAGATGGGTGAAGAGAAAAGAGAGTGAGCTTACGGCATAACCATGGCCCCAAGCAGAGAGATTGCAAGACCAGTTGCACCGTTTCCTTTGAGTTGTGGAACAAAGAGACCATGTAGGACTGCTCCTGCGTCTGGCTTTGAGTAGTGTAGTTCAATAACGAAGCATATAGCCATTGTGAACACAAGAAATGCAACCAAGAACTCCAGCTTTCTTACCTATGAATGAAAAAAACATCATAAGACTTGACTATACATAGAACTGTGACATGAAAATGATCAAAGAAATGAATACCCCGTATCGTTGAAGTGCCAGAAGAATCAGTGTACTTAAGCCTGTAAGAAGAACACCAATCCATATTGGTATGCTAAAAAGCATGTTTAGAGCAAAAGCTGTTCCGATTACTATATAAGAAAGTAAGCCAGTATGGCAATAGTTAGTACTAACAAAGATATTAGAGAAATTATAGAAACACAGTAAAGAGTATAGAAAGTTTGGTACCTTCTGGAATGTCACAAGCGACTATTGCAATTTCAGCAACAACCCATAGCAAAAAGTTTGGAACCTTGGAGTATTCACCTCTACAATGCTCAGCTAAATGTTTTCCTGTGATCATATAACCAAAATAAACTCAGCAAAGTTGATGAATAAAAACTTATAACCAAAAAGTAACATAACCTGTGACAACACCAAGATTGGCAGCCAGAGATTGAATCACCAAACCCGCACAAGAAGCCACCAATATGATCCAAAGTAACTGTTTATTACAACGAAATCAATATTTTTTTAATTGAAAAAGATAATGTGAGAAGGGGAAGAGTTTATACACGCACCTCATACTTGTATTGTGCTCCTGCCTGTAGATCAGTCTCAACTGCAAAACACATGAATAATAATAATAAAAAAAAAAAGAAACATTTATCATCTAATAGTTAATGAAAATGATATGGGAAAGTGAATCTGGTTTATCATGATCTTACAGTTTCCAGGATCAATATATGCGATTGAAACAAGAAAACCAGGTCCTAAGTAGGCAAAGAAATTCTTCCAGCTCTTTTTCTGCATATATATGTAAAGACATCAATCAAAATTATTGATCAAACAACGTAACCAGCGATTTTTAAAAAGTACAAAATCAAGATTATCTGCATGTTTTCAAGTCTGTTCTATTAACCATGAAAGTGATTTCTTCAATTTATGGACATTTACTGGATTTTGACTAGTTCAGTTAATTAGTAATAATGTAAATCAAGCGAATACATGTGAGTTTTCTTAAGATGAAAAACACAATAAACATATGTTTGCGTGGGTTTGAGTCAAATCTATAAACTAGTGATTATAGATCAAACAAACGTATTCTGTCATTTGCTTATATCTTTTGTTTTTTAATGATAACACTGAAAGTAACATCGTTCTCCGAAAACGCAGAGGCATAGGTTCATAGAACCCAATAAACAGATACTACATAAGTCAAATGAACTAACATGAGACAGAAATAAACGATGCCAGTAGGCACCCATGAGGTAGCGTGTTGCTTACGTGAGGCAACATTCGAGTACGAGATTATATCTGCATGTTATTGACTATGAAAGCAATTTCTTCATTTTATGGAATTAGTAATATTACAAATCAAATATTGAGATAATTAAGGTGTTTGAGTCAAATCTTGAGATGAGACAAATAAAAATTAAACAACAAGAAAAAGTAACAAACCTGAGGGACAATAATCTGATGAGAATCAGCATCACCCTTAGTAGAAATGATTTGAGGTGCAGAAGCATCCGCCATAGCCATCTCACTTGCTAGTAATTTCTTTGTGAATGATTTTGAGTATTGATTTAAAAAAAAAAAAAGTGAGCAACAGTGTATATATAGGTAAACCTGAGGCGAGATTAAAGGAGATTTTTTAAACAAAATGGTGGATTAATTAATGTAAGCCAAAAGTATAGAAAAGGGCAGCTTACCTCAGTAACGAAGAAGTAGGGAGAGATCTTTGTGCGCTTGACACACTTTTTTCTTCTCCCAACACACTTTTACCTAACTCAAACCTATGAAACCTATCGTCCCCTCTTTCACGGTTGAGCTTAACTAAACAATTTTTTTTTTTTAATCCCATAAATTTTCGATGTTACAAATCTTTTTTCTCTTTTGTGAATCTCCTCCACCATGAAAACCCTCTGCCCTCTTCCGCCAAAATAATTGATTGAGAAAGGTTTAACTGGTGTGAGGAGAAGACGAAGGAGAGAGTAATCCCTTTCATGCCGCGAACAGGACAGCCACCGTCAGATATAGCTTCACTGTTGTCATTATTCTCTCTTCTATGGTTTGACCCCTCACTCTCTGTTTTTGTTCTCACTCACGCTTGTGTTTTATCTTTAACACAAGCTTGCTCTTTCTCTTTCTCTCTTTCTCTCTTTACTCTCTCACGTTTGTTTTTGTTCATGTAGAGAGAGAGAAGAGAGAATACTTTGTTGTCTACATTGTTAACCCTTTTTCATTACTTTCTTCAAACACAAACATACATACTTATAGTAGATTTCTCTACTAACTCCACTTGCTTGCACCCATCATTTAACATATTATTGTAGGTGTCTCCTAGACTCTCTTACACAAGTCACACTACTCCTACTTAGTCTTACAATTAAGTAAGGTTAGGTTACACATTCAACAACTTTTACTACTCCAAATAAAATAAAAATGAAATATTAGAATCCTTTATATAAGAGATGGGCATCTCCATCAGTCCATGTATTAGAGACGATCATGTACGGCGGCTAACGTGGAGGTGACCAGTTCTCCGGTCATCCTTGGCCTGCATCTCTTCCTTTAAATTTCTTAGATACTGTGGTGAAGCGTGATAGCGTGGCGTGATGCACGGCGACAGAGCTCGACATGAACGATCACCTTTTCCCATTAATCAAGTAACGACGTGTAACGTTTTCTGTATATCGTCATCATATTAGATCTAATCTATTTATTCAGGGTCATATTTTTATCCATACAAAATTATTGAACTTATCATACATTTGTTTAAGTGTATTTTCATAACCATGTATATAAGCACAGCATCTGAAATTCTTTTATTTATCATATGAAATACAAAATATGAAATTTTTGATTTTTATCATAGCTGCATCCAACAATGGTATATGATGAATCTCAAATATTTTTGATATCTTAGTTGTCCAAAATTCTCTAGAAAATAGAGATTCATAGGGTTTAATTCGTTGATTTTGGTTGTATATGAATTTTATTAAATTCTTTGGTTAATGATTAGAACTTAATTATACCCATGTACCATGAACATAAATTTAGTACATTAATATAAATTTTGAATGTGGTTAGGTATGACTAAACAAAACTAAAGAGGCATATATATAACATTTATCGGAAACTTAATTTTTTGTATGGGTTAACCCACATATTTCAAGATAAATTAGAAAATATGGTATTTTTATTTTAATGAATGATGCATCATGCACTGACATAGAATGAAAAATAAAAAGGTTTGAGATCTTAGTTGTTCTCGTTTCTATAGAAAATATAGTTTTTATAGTGGTTAGTCTACTTATTAGGTGGTATATGAAGTTTAATTAAATTACTCATTGGAAAATTAAAACTTATGCCCACGTACCATAAAAATAAATCTAAGATACATATATATATAAATTTGGAGTGTAATTAGGTATTTTTAAACAACACTAAAATGCTATATAGTATAGATAGTATTGATCAAAAAATTAAATTTTTTCGTAGAGATAAACCCACATATATCAAGATAAATTAGACAATATGAAATTTTGTTTTAATTCATAGATGCATTATGCATTGTTATAGTATGAATATTAAAGATGTTTGAGATTTTAGGTGTTCTAATTTTTCTAGAAAATAAAGATTTTATATGGATTAGTACACTAATTATATCGTATATAAAATTAAAAAAGAAAAATTCATTCAAAAATTAAAAATGATGTCTATGTAGCATGGAAATATGTTTAGTTACATTAATATGAATTAGAATGTGATTGGATATTTAAAAAATTATATATTAATGAGACTAAAATTTAGTATATATATTATTTATTAGAAAAAAACTCGATCCTTTCGTAATAACATTTATTCAAAGTTTATAATCTAATTACTAGATAACTTTTAGATTATGCGACTACACGTAACATTTCATTGGTTTATCTTATTTAAAGATATGTTCGTGCACTGAATTGCCAATAAGACGTTTAGATCATCTCTACTGGTGAATTTTGGAGGGATCCTTAACTTAAAAAAAAAAAAAATAATAACCAAATTGTAGGTTTCATTAAACAGTTAAGGATTTGCCTCTTAAAACTTCTATTTAAAAGGCAACTCTTAACACAATCACATGTTCCACTGAAAAGTGTCGATCTGCGATTAATTTCGGACTTTTCTTTTTTATTTAATTCCAAAAAAAAAAATTGAACAAAAAAAATTTAAGAACTTTCGGTGAAGTCTACCAATGGAGATGCTCTTACACGAACTCGTCAGGAGAGTATTTGAATCAATAGAAACCGTATTATATTATTCATAGATAAGTCCTTATTGGTCGGCCATCTACCATAAAGAAAAGTTTTTTTTTTTTTATTTCAAGAAAACAAAAGAGACGTGAAGCCAATTCGAATCATCGAACTAAATATTGATATACAACAAAATAGATGTCAAAGAAAAACGTGTAATTCACGGAAACACACTGTTGCTCTGATGGCAAGACTATAATAATGGCTTTACTTTTACGGTAATGTATACTATTTGAAGAATCATTCATTGAATTCATGTCACGGTCAATTCCATGTTGTTTTAAGTAGCAGCAATACGCGATGAACTTTCTATATATAGAACCTTTGGTTTTCAATAAGAAAATTCTATGATTATATTTAATAAAGGGTAATGTATTATGCAGCCTTTTCATCTATTAATCAATGTAAGAAAGAAAAAACTGCCTAATTAAGAAAAAAGTTGTGAAGACAAGTAAATTAAAACAATATGTGCAAGAGTAGACTCTAGCAAAAACTACTCCCTTTTTTTCTCTATCAATAGAAAAGAAGAGTAGACTCTAGCATATGGGATTAGTCTTTGTTTTTTCATATTTGGTCGTGTTATTAAGTGAACGTGGGCACTAGAGACAAAAACCAAAAGACCATTTCCAAAAGGGCAAGAGGAATTAATATCATATTAATATATTTAATAACAACACATGTTTTAGACCTTTATTAGTTCATGAACCTTTGAATTGTACGGCCTTTTGTTCCTTTAGCTAAGTTCAATGCATCTCTGGAGGACCTACTGCTTAACTAACCAAGAGGTCCAAGATGTAGAATAATATCACAAAGGAAAAGAAAACTACAATAGTTTAACTTCTTGAAAATGTAAAACAAACTTTCCGTTCTATTACTTAATTGGTTCCACAAATAGCTATTTTATCGATGCGATACTTAAATTTTTTTCAAAAGATCAAAATTTCCATTGGTGAATGTCGCAAAGGAAAAGTATGGCTGCTAATAGTGTCTTTATTATGAACAAATCGAACTATGTTGGTTCTTACAACACTCAACGAAAAAATATATTCATAAATCATAGATTTGTTTCTTTGCAGAGGAAAAACCCCACACATTATGAAATTGTTTATAATCAAGAATTTAATTCATCTTGAATGAATTATTAGTTAAATGCCAATTTGCCATGCGTACATTCATTATTTTATTTGTTTGGTCAAACACCATACATGCATAAATGTTGGGGAATGGATTATAGGATGTCCCAGAAAAATATATGGCCGACCAAAAATTAAACGAAATTGTATTGTAGAGAAAAGGAAAATAAAAGTTTTAGGTCGGTGATGGGATATATTGGACGTCACCGGTGATGATGAAGTTATGAAAAATGAAAATACAAGTGGACAAAAAAAAGCAAAACTATTCTCGTCCAGAAGACAGAACAGAAGCAGCTAATAAGTACCGAAAGCACAATTCCTTTCCTGTATTTTGAAGACTTTGACGTCTTTGACCGTTGACTTCTAAACACCTTACACACGAGTGGTTTGGTTTAGATCCATTCCTTCCCTGCCTGTCTTCTTCATCTTTTTGTAAAACAAATCGCCATCCAGTTTTTTAATAAACAAAAGGCAAAAATTCGTACATTTTATTGTTTGGAAAATGTTATATTCTACTGAACAAAAAAGTAGATGAAACATCGAAGATAATCTAATTAATTACAAAGTTTTGAATGTCATCTCCTTATATATAAAAGTATGTCTTAAGTTTTTGTTTATCAAAAAATTTAAGTAGACATGGATACAAAAACATAGAAATTTTGATATTGTTTTAACTAAGATTTGATGAAGTGCGTCATCTATTAGTATCGTCACTTGTCCAATTGTTTTTGAGCCGTGTCGGCTTGACTTTGACCGAACAACTGAACAATACACACGTTTACATAAATAATTAAATTACTAATGACAAACGCTAGAAACATATAAACCACGTTCCGCACACTCTATTATACTATTACCTATACCACATTGTACAAATTATAGTTTTAGTAGGGGTGGGCACGGATTGGATATCCGGGTTTTTTAAGGTATTTGTGATTTGCTTCGAATGTTACGGATATCTAATTTTGGTATTTGCTTTGCTTCGAAAAAATACGGATATCCGGAAAAACGGATATCCGGAAAATAAATAGATATTTGCGGATATTTACGAATATTTACGGATATCTCATCTATTTTGATTAATACAAATAATCTTAAGATTTTGATACAAATTTGCTTTGCAAAAATAGTTTTTTGCATGATATATAAAATAAAACTTAAAAGAACTAGTGAATTTATATATTTTGTAATTTTTTAAGCTTAGGTTACAATTATAATAACT